AAAGGGGCTACTGCAGTGTTTCTCAAACAGGGGTCGCCGCTTGTGTAGAGAGAGCCCCTGGCGGGCCGGGCCGGTTCGTTTACCTGCCCCGTCCGCAGGTCCGGCCGATCGCGGCTCCCACTGGCTGCAGTTCGCTGCTCTGGGCCAATGGGAGCTGCTGGAAGCAGCGCGGGCTGAGGGACATGCTGGCCACCACTTCGAGCAGCCCCCATTGGCCCGGAACAGTGATCCGCGGCCACTGGGAGCCGCGATTGGCTGGACCTGTGGACGGGGCAAGTAAACAAACCGGCCCGGCCCGCCAGGGGCTTTCCCTACACAAGCGGCGACCCCTGTTTGAGAAACCCTGGTCTAACCTGATTCAGTGGCTGGAAGTTGAAGCTAGACACATTCAGACTGCAAATAAGGTGTAAATTTTAAATGGTGAGTATAATTAACCCTTGGAACAATTTACCAAGGGTTGTGGTGGATTCTCCATCACTGATCCTTTTAAAATTTAGATTGGATGTTTTTTCTAAATGATCTGCTCTAGGAACTATGTTGGGGAAGATCTATGGCCTGTGCTCTACATGGGGTCAGACTAGATAATCACATTGGTCCCTTCTGATCTTGCAATCTATGAATCTATGAAAAGCAGGCATTATACAGACTGAGTTATAAACTGCAAACTTTTACAGTGTTGGAGCCATGTCATTCCATGCTGATTTATGCAAAATGCCCCTTGACTTTGGTGGAGTTCAATCTGTGGGGTGATGGGTGAAGCTCCTTGTTGTAAGGAGGGTGTCTTCCTCTGAGATTGTGCCATGCCTGGGACTCCACTCCTTACTGGAGCCTCTGCCTGCTACTAAACTGCAAACAATAAATCAACATGAATGAATCCCCGGGAGAATATATCATTGGAATTTGCCATGTGATGGACTGAACCACACCGATGTACCCTGTCAGCACGTCACAAGCTGGTGATAGCAGGAAGGCTGCGTGAATGAAGTTGCCTGTTCTGGAGTGCCAGCAATGCCGCAAATGCATCATAGTGGAGAGCTCCATTTTTTCCATGCAGCCGCTCATTCTGATTCTGCAACACTTACTCACCTGGTGAGCACTTACTCACAGGAGTAGGCCCACTGAAGCCAATTTAAATCAGTGAGTAAATCTGCTTAGAAATCATGGCCCAGTGCTTTGTGTGTAGAGACTAGAATTCTTCCTAAACTTTGACATACTCATGTTTGTTCCGGACAAATGAGCAGAATTCTAGTTACTATTGTTCTTTCCACAGTAACATTGAAGTAATAATAACGTACCCATAACACAATCAGGCAGCCCCTTTACGAGCAGGTCCTGCGAGCCCTGGCATAATTGGAGAATTGGCCCTTTAAGAGTGGGGCGCACTGGGAAATGTACACTCCAGGAGAGCTTGTTGGTGGTCATATGACTGGGGGAGGGTTTAGTTGATTGGCCAAGACGATTATATAATTAGCAGCCTGCTGTTCAGGGGAGCAGGTGGAGGAGTGGAGGGGTTGAGCTCCGCTTGGTCTGCCCATGGTAGCAGGCTTGGGAAGACAGAGCAGGAACGAGACGGGCTCTAGGGACTGGACAGAGAAAGACCCCAAGGAGGGATCAGAAGGAAGTTGCCTGGGTGTTGTATGGTGTTGAAGGGAGATAATGCTTGTACTTATTTATGGAGCCCGGTGGGGACTTGCAGCCAGGGTAGAGTCGAGTCTCCCTTCTGTGGCCCTGCACCCACAAGGCCAATGGGCTGCTGAGTCTAGGATGGGGCTAGAAGAGGAGCTGTGGTCCAGCGAGGGAGAATATATTTGTGACCCTATGAGGCTGCCGCTTGGGCAAGCAGGGGCAGAGCCATGTAGTCTAAGGAGGGATGGGAGCTCTTGTTTCCATTTGGTTTGATTTGTTGAGTCTGGAAGGGGCGGACGCTTGTGTCTTAGCAGGCGGGCTAAGGCATCCCAGTGAGCCAACAGCGCTGGGGGCTGGAGGCGCACAAGGAGAAGCCTATGGGTCAGTTGGAAGGGGGGTGGCACCTGGGACACGACACAGCAGCTGGCAAGATGATCATGTCACACGACCTACATATAGCTCATAAGATATGAACGGTGCCACCTTGAAACACCCCAAACGAATCCACGAGTCAGGCTGATGAAGGGCTAGACGGCACCACCTCAGGCAGGCGATCCCTAGCATAGTCCCATTTTGAGTAAACTCCCACCAACATGAGCAAGGGTCCGTGGGGACAAAATTCTCCTCCAGCCCTGGCTGGTGAAGGCCAGTCATCTTTAAGCAGATTTAATCATTGACTTCAGCTGAGGAAGCTTAAAAACCCAGCATGCGCCTGCTGTTTTAGTAAATGGAAAAGAGGTTTGTGGGATGCTGAGTGACATGCCCGAAGAGAGGGCCAAACCTCCAATGGCAGCACATGGCGGACAATGTTGAATATAAATGCTTACACTATGGGGTCACTTTGCAGCACATTGTTGTATGTGGTATTTAGGGCCCAGTCCAACCCCCTCTGACTTCAAAGAACTTTGATTGGACCCTTGGGCCCCCTAGTAACATGAATTCCTGACACACCTTGGTGAAAAGTCACCTCCAGGGGTTAATTTTTTGGTCGCCATCAAGTATTAGAAGAAAATAGAACGGCTCAAACCAGTGTCTCTCAACCCTTTCAAGTTGGCAGCCTCTCATTCAAAGTCAAAAAGCTCTGCACCCCCTTTGCATTTCCTATCAAATTGAGAGTAAACAAAATGCATCCGTGACGATGGCAAGCCTGTCTCACTTATTTTGTGGGTTTGGAAAGTTTGACAGAAAATACTTGATCCTGAAGGATCGGGTCCTCAGGGGAGTGGGGGGAGCCAGATTTTCTTCTCCTCGGATTGCTATGAAGTTTTCCACATCTCATGACCTCCTCTTCCCCATTGCCCCCGAGTTGAGAAACGCTGCATTCAATTGAATTATTTATTTTATTTATTTGCAGTTAAGATAAAAGAGGCCGGTCTACGGCTCTAGGTGCTCTCACATAATTATACAGTAATACAATGAGATGAAAGGGCACCAGCATTAAACTCAGCAGTTCCACAGGAGCTCAGTCAGCCAGTCACCTACTCTCTTCATCGTCTAGGAAGAGTGCACTCAGCCTTCTCCAGCAGCCCTGTCAAATAGGTGTCTTTTGCAGCATGCCCAGAAAGTCACCAGATTTGGGCTATGATTTAGTTGGGGGATTGGTCCTGCTTTGAGCAGGGGGTTGGACTAGAAGGCTGAGTGCACTCTTCCTAGACGATGAAGAGAGTAGGTGACTGGCTGACTGAGCTCCTGTGGAACTGCTGAGTTTAATGCTGGTGCCCTTTCATCTCATTGGACTAGATACCTCCTGAGGTCCCTTCCAACCCTGATAGTCTATGATTCTATGTTGGATCAGTGGGCGTGGGAGGGAGGTTTTGGAGCCTGTAGGGTGAACACCCTGCCAGCCGCTCCCTCTCTTTTATAACATGAGGATCCAGCTTGAGCTGCCTGGCTGCCTGGGGCTGTGGTGGTGTGACCTGGCAAGAGAGGTGGTCCCTAGGTAGGCTGGTGCCAGGGCAGTTAGGGCTTTATAAACCTTAAATTCCACCCGGAGAACCAATGCAGACCCCAGAGCACAGGTGTCAAGATGCTCTGCTCCATAAGTAAGCGGCTGTGTCCTGGGCCAGCTTCACTCTCTGAATGGTTTTGAGATGCAGCAGCCCCGTGTAGAGCACATTGCATCGCCTAATCGTAAGGTCAAAAAGCAAGGATAACAGTGGCACACTCCGCATCCGAAAGGAAGGGCTGCAGCTTTGGAACCGGACGTGGATGGGAAGAAAGTTATTTTGCAACAGAGATTTCCAGTTGTGTGGTTTATATCAGTTCTGCCACATTTTGCTGTCCTCCGTGCCTTGAGAGGGAGTTATACTTTTTTTCACAGCTGGTTAAAATATTGTCCATTTCTTCTTTTATAATCATCCTCATAAGGGTAGATGGTGATCCAGTAGATTTAGTTCTGGGGCTACCAAGTTTTCAGAACAGTTTTGCAAGCCAAACACATAAGAAGAAGTTACTTATAAAATTTCTTCTCGTTACCTACTGAGTTTTGGTAGGGTTATAGCAAAATCAAAGCAACAGCAGTGACAAAAAGACTCTCTATTGGTCAGCTTCTTTTGTCAAATAAACAAGGGGTCTGCCGATGTTCATATCATGGATTCTCCACCAGCAGGAATTTTACGCTTCTTAAAGATTGGGACAAAGAGCACTTTGCATTGTATGAGCCATTTTGCAAATGGAAGAAGAAGGACAGGCAATAAAGAAGATGACAGACTGATATTTGCCTGGTATTTCAGGCAACTAAATGGGCACCCTGGCTTTGCCTGTTAAAAAATGGCCGTCTGCTTTCACAGCCAGTACTCTGCTGCAGTTGAGATAATGAAGATAACAGTACATGCCACTGAAAGACCTAAGTCCCTATGACAGATGTACCAAACAGCCTGCCTTTCTAGATACACCTAATTTAATTTACAACAGCAATAACCAGCTAATAAAAATGCACTATTTGTATTTTTTCTCTCTAAAGTACATATTGCCCTTCCACATTCATTCCTGTAGTCCCATGAATTACTGTTGTTTAAAGACGTTCCAGGACATCATGTTTTCTCTATTATTGGTTGCAATACTAAGAGCTCAGAGGAAAGGTAATGATACCAAAGATTATTCCTCTCCCAGGAATGTCTCTGATTCTTTTTTTAAAAAACCTAGACCTTTAATTACAACCTAATCATCTCGATCCGAGCAATAAATATAACAAATGTGAGGCAAGACTGTGTGTGTGTGTGTGAGTGAGAGGGAGAGAAAGGTTTAGGGCAAGGATCAGTGGAAAATCTTTAGAAATGATGTAAGTGAAAGCAAAGGCAGGGATTGGAGTTTGGAGCCTACAGCAGAGACTATAAAAACTCTGAAAGAAAGCTGAGCATTAGGGATAAGTTAGGGTGGGAGATCCCAGCAAGATCCATCAAAGTTGGGATTGCTTGTATCCAAGGCAAGGTAAGATAAGCGAGGAACTGGGCTGGGGGGGGGGGGCGGTGTCTGGGATTTTTGTGTGTGTCTGCTGCTTTGTTTACAGAAACTCTTTAAATATTTGCTTTATTTGTTAAGCATATGAACACTCAACATTTTGAAATTAACAAGCAAGCACAAAATACACACGTGCACACGTCTGATGGGAAAAGTGCAATTCCTCTTTGCATTTTGGGGTATGACAGTAAGAAGCACATCTCCCAGTAATTTGGGTACTGGCAATGAACTAATAATAGAAGACAGAAACATATTTCCATTAGCTAACGAGTTAGCATTTAAACAAGAAGTGTCAAACAGCGCATCCCTATTGAAGAGGTTGTTTGCTTTTATGCTTGTGCAGTGCTTAGAAGATGTAAAGTGCTCTCTAGATGCTAGATCATAGTGGTATTTTACTTGTTTTTCCTTGATGTTTCCCTTTTGTGTGTTCTGTTCTACTCAGAATAAATCAAATGCATTTTATGGCTCTAAAGGAATTAAAGAGCCAATCTAGTTAAATAGCTAGATTGCTTGCTTTGCTTTAATAAATAACGTATTTTTAGTGACATGTTTACATGGCTGTTACCTGTAACATGTTTTAAGGCACAAGATGAAGAAATGAGATCAGGGAAAGCTAAGCCAGCAAACTCTTTATTCGTTTCTTTTTGTAAAGCTCCCAAGTCTACAGAAGAGCATTAAGGATCAAGGGACATCCTAATATCAGTGATGGGCCAGATTTGGAGTAACTCAGGTTTGCACTGTTGTAACTGAAAACATAGTCTGGCCCAGTGATTGTAATTGCGCTTTCTTTGTACTGGGCTCAAAATCTCACACTCTCTCTCCCTCTCTGCCTCCATAACTGGGGTCACTTAGTGTGTAAATGTAAAGAACTTTCAGGTCTGCACTCTGGAGGCTGCTGAGGGAACAGGGGGAGTTTTCTTGGGGAGCCAACATGGGCTTTGTTCACTAGGGGTTCAAATCTCTGCAGTTCTTAAAACACAGGAGCGTGCACTACAGGCTTATTTGGCTGTTCACTTTAGAAGCAGCATCCTCTCTAATGGGTAGAACATAGGGTTGAGAATCAGGAGGAGTATTCATGACGCTGGGGCGAGTTAACTTAACTTCTCTGGATCTCAATTTCCCATCTATATGATGGAGATAATCCTGCTGGCCTTTCTTTGTAGAACACTTTGAAGTCTATGAATGAAAAAACCCACTGTGAAATAAATTATCAAGATTATATAAGTGCAAAGTATTACTGTTTAGAGCAATGGTGCTTATCAGTACTCACGGTAAAATCCTGCCCTGCTGATTTCAAATGGATCAGGATTTGTATAACTCGAACTTCGTCTAACTGCTAAGTGTATCTCTGAGTTCTAGGACTGTTATTTTACTGAGCAAGTTCAAAACATGCATCAACTGTCTACAGATTGCTTGTAATCTGATTGTAACTCACCTTTATAGTCTTCTGAGTTTGCCCAAAGAAATAGATCACCTACCATTTCAACCTACAATACATCTTCACCCAGCTATCAATGTTTTCTTCACCAATAATCAGTTTTGATCTTTGTTCAAAAGGGTAATATACGTCTATCATCCATTACATCACATCTAATATTTGAGCCATTTATCTTACCACTGTCATGACATTCTTCTCTTTTTCAGAGCTGATCTTGAGAGCTTTATCTGTATAATTATGGAAGTATATTTTAACTGGTTGTAATGGGCACTATTCTCTGCTCAAATAACATAGTCTGCACTTATGCAGAACTTCCACTTATGTCCCTCCACTGTTAAGAAAAGAGAAATTTCCTCTGCACGTGTGAATAAAAACCTAATATCTATCCCTGTACGTTTCACCTCTGTGTAGATTTCCTCTTTCTGATTGTTTTAAAGGTTTATTTTCTTTATTTTTAAATGCTGAAGGCATGCAAGCCTGTGACACTGAAGCGCTGTTAGTTCTTATCCTGAAGAGCAAAGAAAACTTTTTTAAAAAGAAGTCTTAAAATGTAAATGTAACTGTGATTAGAAACATTTAGAAAAGTTGGCCTGCTTATTTGGTAAATATATAAATGATTTAGGAGCTGAGCATTTGTTGGCAATGGATAACAGTCTAATGAAGTTTTGTTTTCCATAGTGCATACCAAGAATGCTGTAAAATTCTTTCAATTATCTTGCTTAGCAAAGGTGGAAATCGGTACTTCTCATTAATGGCTCTTTTCTTGTATGTTGTAAAAAATCTGCTTATTTAGCACTTTTTCCTTAGCCTTCTAGGTGGATTTTGTCAGAGTCATTTGTGGCTGATACATTTGGTGTCCAAGCATGATTGCCTTCAGACAAAGTGCTTTTCATTTGCTGTTATTAAATGTTTGTTTGTGGTGGGTGATAGTCAGGTACAGATTGTTCTTAGTTTTGCAAGCTGTCCAAATTGTGTAACTTCTGCTAATTCCCAGGAAAACGTTCCCAGAATATCCCGCATGGACTATTTGGGCTGTACAAAATATTCAAATGAGCAAACAGGGACCATGCCTGATTATCCTCTTCCTACTGCTTTTGCATCTGTGTATCTCCATGGACTGCAGCTGAGTTACTCCCGATTTATGCTGGTGCAAGTTCAGATGTTCACACGGGGGTGGGAGGGTCTAATCTCCTCTTAAAAACCCAGGGTATTTTTTTGTAGACATCCTGTAGCACTGATGACATTTGACATTCTGAGAGTCAGCCCTTACTCACATGAGTAGCCCTACTGAAGTAAAGCGGCTTCTCTCATTTGTAGAACTGGAGGATCAGGCCCTTTACAAGTCCCCTAGCGAAGAGAAGCAAAGAGAATGCCTGTTGCTATTATCGGAATATCCACAGTGCAGCTGGAAGTGAGCCTTCCAGCCCAGGGAGACTGACACCTGCGAGTCCACTCAAGCTAGTGCACTAAAAATCACAGGGCTTGTATTCAGGTGGATAGCTGGGGCCACAAAATCCAGGCTGCTATTTTTGGTGCGCTAGCTTCAGTGGCGCTAGCTCATCTGTCTACCGCGGGCTGAGAGGCTCAGGTCAGCTGCAGGGCAGACATACCCTGGGGGTCCTCACGATGATAGACTTCCAGTTGAAGTCAAGGAGAGTTTTGCCTGACTAACGACAGCCAGAGCAACCATCTACATGCACGTGTTCTCACCACATCGCCTTCTTCCCAGAGTTTAAATGCAAGAAAACGTTTAAGCACAATTGAACGTAGATCAAAATAGCAGGGAAATAATTGCCAAGATGGCAAGATAACACACGCAATAAGGATAAAGCATTGGCAGCGGTGTTGTTAGAGCGAAGGTATACATCAAAGTCAAGATTTTCAAAAGTGATTAATGATTTTGGGTGCTCATCTTGAGACACCTTGAAGGAGCCTGATTTTCAGCAATTGCTGAGTGCTCGCCCTCTGAAAATCAAGCCCCCCCAGATGGACCCCCAACATCACTCATCACTTTTGGATTCTTGGCCAAAGTTCATCAATTTTAAATATGAGATTTGGAAGCTCCTAGCAGATTTAAGTAGACGAAGCCTGCCGTGAACTATTTACCTACCTTCTCAGGGGTCTGAACAGGCATTGCACTAACCACATTAATAGTAAAAGGCAGTTTGAAATGATCCTAGAGAAAAGCTAATTCTGACTGCATCATCTATATAATAAAAGAATTGATGTGGATTTCCAAAACTTAGAAATCAAAACTTACCCTCTGTTGTTAATAATGCATTTGCTGAAGTATCTGGCTTTTACTGTTTATAATTTATGGAATGCATTTTCCAGTAAGTCCCGTACTTCAATGTCGTTTTATAATGGACTGCTTTCTGCCGAGTGTGTCATATCTCATCTGTGGGATGAGAACAAAAGAGCAATGCTAAACTATTTCTGTGCTGGACTCAGCAGTGGTATTTTTCCCCTTCCTCGTACATTTTCATGGTATTACTGATAATTCCACTTGCATTTAACCAAGGCTCCCCAGAACTTCGTGAAATCACTGACGTTTCTGATATGGGAGTATCTCGGCTTTTATGGTAATGAATGCACTTGAGAGCACAGTCCTGCTTCTACAGAAATCCGTGTGAGTTTGCCCATTGGCCTGAATGGGAGCAGGATTTTCACAGAGCATCCAGTGCATCTGTTAGTAGCTCATATCCTTGTCTCAGATAAAATACTCTGCCATCTGCATCTTAAGAACAATGGGTTAGACCCTCAGTGGAGAGACTCACAGAATGATACATTTAACTAGCACAGGTAGTAACAGACCATTTTTGATCGCACCTGAATAATTGCAGACTAGTACAATGAGCTGCTTGCTGAGCGTGCACACCACTGCCCTCTCCAGGATGGAATTACAATTGCTGAGGATGATGTCAGAGGCCCTGCATGACTAATGATAATGGAGATTCTCCTTTACCTCTAATAGTAGAGGCCTATGCTTTCTAGAGCAGGAAGATCTGAGTTTTCATGCTGTTGCCATGAAGAACCTAATGTCTATGATGCGCAGTACGTGACAGTCTGTGACCCTGATCCTGCCTCTGAACACCATACACGCACATCCCTGCAAAGCCCCATTGACTTCAGGGGCCTGCCTGCTCCAGTTCACTGCAAGAGTAAGGTCTACATTTCTGGAGGAGTGCGGAGATGTTACAATGTTGCTATTAAAATTTGCGTGAGAGAGTAATCAATGCACAACGGCAGGAGAGTGAAAGATTGTGGTGCAGTGTATGAAGTCTTGCCTCAGTTCTGTTGCTAACTGTCAAGCAGGAAAAATAAACCATTTGTGATTTATGCTCAGAGTAAGCTTCAGAGTGGTGTGAAATATGATCTGATCGTTTGAATCGGAAAGAACAATGAAGGCTGTTCACATTTTTGATAGGGAATATTTTGAACTCTGCGATGAATTACACCGTCTGGTTTTTGCTCAGCCATCTTGGCTTGGGGATGTCATTTCGCTTTTGTTAAAAGAAAAAAGAAAAACATATCTGCAGAGCCCTCGGGTCTGATGTTAGGGAGTGACCATGTTGTGGATGGTCAAGAGCTCTACTTTGTTTTGGCCTTCTGTTGGAAAGGCGCTTCGATGGTATGTGCAGATTTCTGACAAAGGTTGCTGCTGTTTAGTCTGTCTTGATATGGCAGAAAAATGTTCTTTCTTTTATCTGTTTTAAGTGGAACGCCAACAAAGATGCTGAATTACACCAGGAATTTAAGCTTTGCTGAATTTTGAGCTAAAATATGGGTGAAACCCATAAATATGTCTACATTTCAGACATGCAATTTTATCTCTTGATAGCTGGACAGTATTTTATTTATTGCAGATAACACAGATTCTGAGACACGCATTCACATGGAGTAGCACCGTACCTCCTCATGTAGACCCAGCGAATTCAGTGGGAGGATTTTTGTCGAGTAAATGCTACTCAGCATGAGTAAAGCTATTGGAATCGAGCCCACAACAAGGAGGACAAGTCCTGCCAGGAGCGGTGTTGCAGTCATAAGTTTACTCAGAGCAGTTCAGATCTAACTTCACATCTCTTTTGGAGTGGGGAGGTAGAACACTAGTGTCCAACACCTACCCGAGATTAAGCTTGAGTCACGATTCAAGTCAAAGGGGAACAGGCATCTACAAAATCCAAGGGACAAAGGAACTGAGTGGAATTGTTCAGGCAACATCGGAATATACAATAGATGAACAACAGAAGAAAGAGAAGTAACTAGTGTAAATAGCTAAACTCCGGGAATATGGTTAAAAGTGATGGGTCAAATTCATGTCTGACATACACAAATGTAACGCCCCTGACTTTGGTGAGTTCAGCTGACGCCATCATCAATGGCTTTGACTTTGCTTTCAGTGGCAAAAATGATTTAGGGCAAAATCACTCACAGAAGGGAAAATCCTGCTTCCTTCTCCCACCTCAGGAGGCCCAAAATTCAGGGGAACCAATATCCTTCTCTGCTGCAGGGGAGGACAGCGTTTAGGGGAGCAGCACGCTCATTGTCCTCATACAGAAGGGTTCAGAAGCCAGGGCTGAGGAGTGGTGGGGTTAATAAGGTCTCAAGCTGGCCCTGATTTTGCTCCCATGTAAGTCAATGAGACCCTACTTTTGCAATTGACTTCAACGAGAGCAGAAGCAGGACCTTAGTCCCTACGATTTCCTCTCCTTCTAATTTTGCTGGAGTTGAGTTCCAGCTGGTTAATCAAATGTCTTTTGTGATGCAGGTGCCATAGTGTTTATTTTTATTAGTACACCAGATGCCATTTTTAGCTCTTTGGTCTTTGGGATGAATGAATACCAGTGCAGACATTAAACCATATGAAACGGGTGTATTTAACCTCACCATTTATTTTTACTTCCCCGTATCCAAATAATCAGGATGTGGTTATCTGCAAGGTGATAGACGGCGACTTTTCATTTCAATGCACAGCCAAGTACAAAAATACACATTATAAAGCACCACAACGGGAGGGGGGGGGGGGGGGGGGGGGGGGAGAGGGGTACCGTGGGCCAGATGCTCAACTGCTGTAAATTGGTGTAGCTCTGTTGGCTTCTGGATCACTGCTCAGAATGTGTGGACGCATCAGTCTCACCTTATTCATTCCTTTGTCTCTCTCTCCTTTGACTCCTCTGGAGTTATTCCGGTTCATATCAGCCATTTCCTAAACCTTATGGACAAAAGAAAAGGGTATGAAACCAGATAACAAAAGCACATGTAAAAATAATTAAAATTAACACCATTTTTATACCTTCCTCTACAGCGTCTGGTACTAGCAAATGTCAGTACAAGGGTAATAGGCAAGGTGGCTTGTTGTTCTGATCACTTAAGGGAAAGCCCATGTGAGAAGCAGAGAAATTAGGGTGACCAGATGTCCTGATTTTATAGGTACAGTCCCGATTTTTGGGTCTTTTTCTTATATAGGCTCCTATTACCCCCCACCCCCGTCCCGATTTTTCACACTTGCTGTCTGGTCACCCTAAGAGAAATGAAGACACATGTTATAGCTGGACTTTTAAACCAGGAGTCCAAACACTTTGCTTCGTCTCTCTTGTAGTGTGGGAAACAAGAGCAAAGTCAAACATTTCTGCTGGGTATATTCTGCCCGATCTCGTGAGAGATCTGCGAAAGTGAGGCTAAAACAACTCTCGTACATCATCAGAATATATTTACACAGCCTTTCTATTTCTGCCGGCTCCAGCAGGAGAGTCAACAGAGAGTGGCAGAGTCAGAGCTGAATTATGCTCTCTGGGGCTGGGCATGGAAAGAAGATTAACAAGCAGATTAGCAGATTTCTTCTGGGGCTGGAGGCCCCAACCCAACTCCCATTCAAATCAATGGCAAGATTCCCAGCCAGGTCGGTGTGAGCTGGATCAGCTCCTAAGCATCAAGGAAGGCAGGATCGGGCACTAAGCTATGAGTCAGAGGGTCTTCGTGGCTCTGCTGAGTGACCCTGGGCAAGTCATTTCCCCTCCGTGGGTCTGGTCTGTTTGGAGCTGGCTCATTCTTGTCCTTGTAACCGCTCTCTGCTGCCCTTGTCACGTGCCCTTCCTCCTCTGTGCGTGTCGGTGGGGAGTGATTCAATAGGTTGTTCTGTTTTGCAGATGCTGCAGGTTTGGTTTGGGGTGGTGCACTTTGTCCTGGCGCTTACTCTGCTGCGGTGGCACATCGGCACTGCTGTCCTCGCTGAGGCAGCTCCACAGGTAAGAGGCTATTCCTGACACTGCCGCATGCACCTTCCCTTCCTGGGGAGCTCGAAGCCAGGGACAGCTGGAGAGGCAGGTATCGCCTTAGGACGGGGCTGAGACGGGCAGCAGGCTCTAAGGGCGGTGTTCGAGTTAGGCTGTGACGGAACCACGTGCCGCGTGTAAGGGATGGCACAGAGCTGCGCTGCCCCAGGAGCAGAGGAGAGGATGACGTGTGAACCAGAGTCACCGTGTCTCCCCTGCCACTCACTCGCTGTGGGGAGGAAGAGTAGGGTACTTCATCCCGCCCTGTGGAGTAACTTCCCCCCCCCCTCAGCACCAGCTATTCTGGCCCGGGATTAGGGGAGGAGGATGCAAGGCTGGCACCCTCTCTGCCCCATCCGTGACCACTTATTCGCAGTGGGGAGTATCGGATGGTGATTTGAGGAAGATGGGGATCTGTTTATCAAGAGACAAACAGGTGAAATTCATCAGATAAAAGTTGTGACGATTTACCCAGCTCCATGGAGACTGAGTAAAGAGGCAAATACTTTGCTCAAATGATGGATTCCCTGACATCTTTCCAGGAGCCCAAGGATTGCACCATGTTGTTCTTTAGCAGGTGCAGCCTGTGCAGGCCAAAAAGCCACATATCATCCTGCTTATTTATTTGAGTGGACTTCAGCTGGGATCAAGAAGGAGCATTGGATGGAGACCTATAGTCCTGCCATTAAAGCTGTGGGATTCTGTAGGCCACACTGTAAAACATGAATGGGGCACATCTGACCCAGAGGCCAGACTTTGGGCACTCTTTAGTAGAGGAATTAAAATACAGTAGGGCTGGTAGGGAAATGGTTTTATTTTCCATAGAAAACCAAATTTTTGGTCCAAAAATCAAAAACTGAAAAAATGAGAGCCAAAACCCAACAGATGTTGATTCAGACATGGCACCCCAGTGCCTCAGGGGAATTGTAGTTTGAGTGCCACTTGCTCTCAGTCTCTTCTGTAGGCTGGACTCCCTGGCTGGACTACATTTCCCATGATGCACCATGATCTGCCCTCTTGCTGTGCCATTGCAATGCAACATGGGAGCTGCAGTCTAGCCGGAAGACCAGCACAGAGGAGAATAGCTTCATGAGACACCCAAACAACTCCCATCAGGCTCTGAAACAGCATTTCTGAATCAATGTGTTCTGTTTTGACAAAGTCAAATTTCTCTTCAGAAAGCTGACCCCTTGATAACAACATTTGTTTAGTCAAAAAAACAATTTTGATGGAAAAATTGCAACCAGCCCTAAAAGCCATCAGGAGTTTATAATTTTGAACAGGTCTCAGCTTCTAAGGATTTTGCCTTCATATCTGGCAAGATCTTCAGTTAAAGTGGGTTATATATGAAGGGTTTTAAATGGTTAAAGCTTTCAAGTTTCCTTGAAAGTTTTTTAATCTTCCTTAAAGTCTCATCAGACTAGTGTTCACATGTGCAAAAGAGTTTCCTAAATGAACTACTTTTAAACCCTCAAACAACCTAATAAACACATCCTACCTGTGATCTATGTGGAATGCATACAGTTCACGTAGCTCTACATGTATATGGACTTGTAGAACTTCCCTGATGGCTTGTTAAGATCAAGGGAAACCCGTTTGTTCCAGATTACACACTTTACAAATATTGCGGTGTAATGCAGCAATTCAGGAACATCCTTTCTATCCTTAGCAGTGGGTTTCATTTCCTCATCCAATCCATGACCATCCAACCTAATGAGATATTTGTAAACTCCATTTCTTTAATGATTTCTGACTGGCTCCCTGTCATCTGCATTTTTCAAATATAGGCCACATGAATGTGGGTATTCTTACAGTAACTACAGAAGAAATGCTGCTACTATCTTACCTTTATATCTGAATCTGAATCATTCCTGGGATATAAGCCCATGATATCCCAGGAACCATGAACAAGACTGCCTCAGCCCCGTCTTTCAGGCTGTTTGCTGGAATGGCTCCTTTGTTGTGTTTCTAACTTCATTCTTTCACAAGGACAAGTTGTTGGCCTATCACTCAATCCCTGGCCTAGGGGACCAATGGCAGCTTTTCTTCTGGTCCCTATCCTTTGAACTGTACGGCTTGGGTGGCCCTACCAGGAGTTAAAGTTCCCACCAGCATAGCTATCAGCCTTCCCGCCGTGTCAAGGTGCTGTCCTCTGAGAAGGAGACATATATTGCCTTTGAAATGCTGCCTCCCTTGGAATTGAGCATAGTCACACAACAGAATAAAACCAGTGTCTAGGTCGGGAACTGAAGAAGAAGACTGTATCCAACTGAAAGTGAATGGGGAATTTGAGGTAGGCAGAGAATAATCGCCTACATTATCGTTGAGCAAGACACTGAGGCTAACATCCTTAATCTGCTGAAAAGGGCCACAGACTCTTTAATGACCAAAAGTGGTCAGGGCATCAGCTTTAATATCTGTTTTTAAAAAGCCTAACCATGGAGCAATATTTTTTGCCTCTTACAAAGCAGAGCAAATTGTTTCATTGTCTGTTTTTATGTCTTCGGTATTGACAGAGGCCAGTCAGTATTTGTCAGCTACCCAATATGCATAAATATAGTCTAGTAAGGGTGTTAACTCAATGTCATAAGAACATAAGAACGGCCATACTGGGTCAGACGAATGGTCCATCCAGCCCAGCATCTTGTCTTCCGACAGTGGCCAATGCCAGGTGTTTCAACGGGAATGAACAGAACAGGGCAATCATCAAGGGTCCTAAATGAAGTTCAAAAACCATCCTGCCTATCCAAATTCCCTGTAAGTTTCAAGAGGATATGCTGTTCTTTATTTCCTGTCCTAAACGTGCATAAGGCTGCCATGCCATGTCCTACCTCTGAATTGGTAGCATTTCAGTGCTAGGTGAAATTATTTTGATGTATTCTTTGCATAACAATTTGTCAAACTTGTAAAGTGATTGGGGATGGAAAATACTGTATAGGCATGTATTACAGCTGGTCATAAACCAAAAATCTGTTTCCTGAAAATGTCAGATTTTTGAAGCTGTTTTCATTTCCAAAAGTTTGAAAATAGAAATTTAATTTTCCCTCCAAAATTCATAGAATTATTTAATTGAATTTCAAAAAAATATTGAATACATTATTAAAAATGTTATTGAAATGATTATGGAAAGTTTTTGTTTACCAAAAACCCAGGTTTCAGTAAATAAAAAATGTTGATAACCATTTTGAATCACATTTTAGAGAAAAATTTCAATTAAAAAGTCACGCAATGTTTTGTGAAAAATGAAGAATTTCAACCATGTCAACAACCTTACATTAAAAAAATTCCTCTTGAAAAAGTGGCCAATTTTCAATAAGAAATCTTCTCATTCAAATGATTTCCTCCAGCGTTAGTATTTGTCGGTTCTAATGTATTTATGGGCTGTACCAACCGCTGCGCTGATTGAAATTCTTTCCCTGAAACAGAACCATCCAGCAAACCCATCCCCTCTTCCTTTGCAGCCCTTTGACTCTTCCATAGTAGTAGGCATGGAAGCACATTCCACATCCAGCGAAGAGAAGTCAGCCACTGACCTGGCCGCTAAACTGCTGCTTCTTGATGAGCTAGTGTCTCTTGAAAATGACGTGATTGAGACCAAGAAGAAAAGAAGTTTCCCCGGATTTGGGTCTCCTCTCGACAGGCTTTCGGCTAGCTCGGTAGATCTGAAAGGCAAGCAGAGGTAAGTGATCGGAGGGTATAGTGATGAGCGCTATAAAGAATATTGTTCGATAGACCTTCCAAATGCAAGCTACTCATTTTCATTAGCTAGCTAGTTCTGTGGTCGGCTGTGGGTAATTCATTTGTCAGTACATTGAAGTCACTGCACACTACTCATCTTCTCAATGTGGCTGCAAGATTTATAGCTCTTCAGCTATGGTAAGTAATGCATGCTGCAGCTGATTTATCCTTGTAGCCCTAATCAACCTGCAAGAGACATCCAGGTAAACGTATTCCTCCAGCGCATCCTTTTCCATTCATGTTAATGGCCCTTCAGTTTAAAAGGCTATTTAGGCAGTAAAACTGTTCAAGGAATATATACTGTCTGGGGTTTAAAAGTGAACGGGGGTGGGGGGTAAATGTTTCCAAGAACAGATGGCTGGTGAGAGGGCATCTTACACAGCAAATCTTGACTGACACTGTAGTGCGCATACAGGTCATGGACAGTACATGATAGGAATGGCATCTTGAGTAAGGCCTTCAGGATCCTGGTCTATTGGTTTCACTGAGATTGGGTCTGAGCAAAGCCCTATACAGTCTGAGTCTATTGGTCTATTGGTTTCACTGAGATTGGGTCT